TCACTGAGGGCTGAGTGACTGTTGATGTTTCTGCTACTGAGTCTGTTGTTGTTATAATTCTTGAAGATGCAGTTACAGCAATCGGTGTGGTCTGTGTTTCTATTGGAATAATTGTAGTCGGCGTTTCTGATATAAGAGTCATTTGAGTGTTGTCGAGGAAGACATTCGTGGCAAAATCAATGAATGCCGACTGGAATGGTGAATGGGTGGAAGAGTCAGTCTCAAAGTAATGCTGTGTTGTAGTAGTCTCTTGAACTAGGTCATTGGTTGTAAAATCACTCTCAAAGCTGTGCTGTGTAGCAGTAGATACTTGATCTAAGTTGTTAGCTATAGTGTCACTCTCAAAGTTGTGTTGTATCGCAAGAGTCTCTTGATCTAAGTTGCTAGTTGTGAGTGCGACATTCAGGGGTTGTGGAGGGTTGTCATTATTGTAAGATTGGGCGTACAGGTCAGTGAGGGTAGACAAAAGCGGGTCTTCTGCATCGATTCGAGTAGAAAGAAGGTTGTTATTTTCATCATATGTAACCTGATGTAATTTGTCAGTGGTAGATGCGACGACGGTCGATATGTCATAATCAAAATTTCCATCGTGAAGTGTGGTCGTTTCTCCTGGTTCCTGAGCAGCATCAGCGACGCTTGTTGTGTAATTCCATAAGGTGAATCCTCCGTCAGGTGTAGCTTCATTATTGGAGGGGATGACCGTCTCAAGCAGATCACTAGGGTTGGAATGATAGTCATTCGTGGGCTCGAGATCCTGACGAGTGCTGGAATTTCCTTCATCCTCTTCGACAAACAATGGATCAAAACCTGGGAAGCGACTGTTCCATCTGTCGTTACCCGGCAGTTTAAGCACCTGACTACCGCTGTCTGATAGCTCAATAGTCAGAACTTCACCTGTGGTATCGGGAACAGTGGTGACTTCCGGGAATGTAGTGGTAATATCAGTTGTGGTAGGCTGGTCGCTGGTAGTAGCCGTGCTCTCAGCCTGGGGTAAAGTGGAAGGGTCGTTGAGGGAAGGTGTGAAAGTCGAGGGGAACTGCCACTGGGTGGTTAGATGGTGAGGTATACTGAGGAGGTTATGAAGGATGGTTTCAGGGATCTCGATGGATTCACCAGAGTTCTCAGTGAGGTTTGCAGGGAAGACTGGCGGCTGCTGCTGGCTCTGAGCCACTTCCGACGACACCACCTGCAGAAGCCAAACACACACACGCAGTTAGGCTTTAATATTTGACTAACCCTACTAAGGTAAAAACATAGGGGTTGCGTTGATGTCATTCAAGGGCTGTTGATACAAGGAATTGAAAATACTTTTCCTCTTCTCTGGATCAGACTTCTGTATCTCCTATTGCCCTGCAACTGCATGATCCTTGCGGATTTATCGTTTTCACATAAACGAAAGTAAATAATGTACTTCCATTATTTAATCCAATATATGACTAAAAATGCGTTGGATATTTCGAAGATTTTTATTTTTAGTTATAAACAAAATTGTGTATTTTAATCTTTATGGAGATCACGAATTTCGTGTAGTTATTATAATGGATTTGTCCCGAGATAAATCTGGCAGTTTCAAACGATATTTGTCCCACTCCATGAATAAAAAAAAATCCGCATTTTACAACAATAGTTACAAATGTTCCAACACGGGACCCTAACGCTTTCAGAGCAGAACCCGAACGTTCTAACACGAGACCCCAAATGCTCCAAAACCCTGAATCGTTCTAACTTAGGAATCGAACGTTCCAACGCGAGACCCACCTGTTGCACGATGGCAATCACACCCTGGATGTTGTCTTGAGGGCGTGTCGGGAGAGATGGTCGTGGTTGGCTGACTGGAGTTAACTCTCCAGTCCGGTTGTAGAAGTTCACACACCCACTGCCTCCTTGTCCCGTTCCGTGAGGCCCTAGTGCCAGTAGCAGGTCCTGGGAGAGAAAGACAGAAATTATTAGAATGCAGTGAACATGGTTGGTTTTATTGTTTTATAACTAAGACATGTTGTATTCACGTGCTGTACACATGTGTTGTGGTATTGCATTTCTGTTTATGGATGTTGCTTACTATAGAGTGAGTGTTGCATATCCGTTAAAGGGACATTGTCTACCAGAGCAGGGGAGGATGTTGCATATCTCTAAACGTTGCAGAAAAACAGTAACACGTTTATATTGTTCTCCACCTTGAGGCATTGGAGTTACTACCTCCTTTCCTTCCCTTTAACATGTCCTCACCCTTCACTCCAGTTACTATCCGCGTAATCTGTCTTCCACCCTTCACTCGTTACTATCTTACTACCTCCCTGCAACCTACACTCCACTTACCTGGATATCCTGGAGAGAGATCCACTTTTGAGCCAGCTGACCATCCTCCCCGTAGACGTAAACCTGGAATTTCCTCCCACCGTCTGGGATAATTGGTCGAGCAAGATGCTGGCGGGACGGAAGCTGTTGCCTTGGTAACAGGGACGCCGGGAGCAGTTGCCTAGGCAACGGAGAGGACGCCCACCTGGGGAGACGGGATGTGTTGTGAGACGGGAAAGGAAGCGATAAGGGTATTAGCGGTGTAATTAAACTTGGAAGCTTGGAGGTGGAGGAGGTGATTGTTTTGGAGGAGCCATCTGCGAACCCTACCCAAAATTATATTGTTGTTGTGGAGAAGCTAATCCGATCCTCTTAACATCACCGAAGTGTAGGATTAGATTTTATTGGCTTATGTGATTTTAATCTCATCATACACACAAGAGCCGAACTTATATATATATATATATATATATATATATATATATATATATATATATATATATATATATATATATATATATATATATATATATATGCAAAACAACCACTCTGAAAGAATAGAGAAATTCCAAGCGCTTTCGTGACTACTCACATTATCATAGTTCCTTGATAATGTGAGTAGTCACGAAAGCGCTTGGAATTTCTCTATTCTTTCAGAGTGGTTGTTTTGCATATTCTGAAATCACCTGTTTACTGTGATCTTATTGCATATATATATATATATATATATATATATATATATATATATATATATAATATATATATATATATATATATATATATATATATATATATATATATATATATATATATTATATATATATACACACATTATATATATATATATATATATATATATATATATATATATATATATATAATATTAATATATATATATATATATATATATATATATATATATATATATATATACACACATATATATATATAATATATATATATATATATATATATATATATATATATATATATATATATATATATATATATATATATAATATATATATATATATATATATATATATATATATATATATAATATATTATTATATATATATATATTTTATAATATAATCAGAATGTGTGCTAAGAGTTACTAAGTTACCATTATAGATATTAATATATTCTTGACTGGTGGTGTAGGGGTGACCAGCAACCATCGTGTAGTAGATAGGCTTTCAACCTTATTAAACCACCAGCTGACTCACTATTTATTTCAAGTGGAAATTAAAATTTCAGTTTAACAATTTTACTCAAATTTTAAAATCTTGGCGAATTTTATTTCATGTTCAGTTTTTTTTTATATTACATTATTTTCAGATCAAAACTTAAATTATGAAATAGTGATTCAAAATAAACTTGTAACGGAATATAATTTTTTTTATTCCTTGAAGAACATTTTTAGAAGTGCAGCTCTTAGAAGTGCGGCTCTTAGAAGTGCGGCTCTTAGAAGTGCGGCTCTTAGAAGTGCGGCTCTTAGAAGTGCGGCTCTTAGAAGTGCGGCTCTTAGAAGTGCGGCTCTTAGAAGTGCGGCTCTTAGAAGTGCGACTCTTAGAAGTGCGACTCTTAGAAGTGCGGCTCTTAGAAGTGCGGCTCTTAGAAGTGCGGCTCTTAGAAGTGCGGCTCTTAGAAGTGCGACTCTTAGAAGTGCGGCTCTTAGAAGTGCGGCTCTTAGAAGTGCGGCTCTTAGAAGTGCGGCTCTTAGAAGTGCGGCTCTTAGAAGTGCGACTCTTAGAAGTGCGGCTCTTAGAAGTGCGACTCTTAGAAGTGCGGCTCTTAGAAGTGCGACTCTTAGAAGTGCGGCTCTTAGAAGTGCGGCTCTTAGAAGCACAGCTCTTACAAGCACGGCTCTTAGAAGCACGGCTCTTAGAAGCACAGCTCTTAGAAGCACAGCTCTTAGAAGCACAGCTCTTAGAAGCACAGCTCTTAGAAGCACAGCTCTTAGAAGCACAGCTCTTAGAAGCACAGCTCTTAGAAGCACAGCTCTTAGAAGCACGGCTCTTAGAAGCACGGCTCTTAGAATCACGGCTCTTAGAAGCACGGCTCAGAAGCACAGCTCTTAGAAGCACAGCTCTTAGAAGCCCTACTCTTAGAAGCACAGCTCTTAGAAGCACGGCTCTTAGAAACACGGCTCTTAAAAGCACAGCTCTTAGAAGCACAGCTCTTAGAAGCACTACTCTTAGAAGCACAGCTCTTAGAAGCACAGCTCTTAGAAGCACAGCTCTTAGAAGCACAGCTCTTAGAAGCACGGCTCTTAGAAGCACAGCTCTTAGAAGCACAGCTCTTAGAAGCACAGCTCTTAGAAGCACAGCTCTTAGAAGCACAGCTCTTAGAAGCACGGCTCTTAGAAGCACAGCTCTTAGAAGCACAGCTCTTAGAAGCACAGCTCTTAGAAGCACTACTCTTAGAAGCACAGCTCTTACAAGCACTACTCTTAGAAGCACAGCTCTTACAAGCACTACTCTTAGAAGCACAGCTCTTACAAGCACTACTCTTAGAAGCACAGCTCTTAGAAGCACTACTCTTAGAAGCACAGCTCTTAGAAGCACAGCTCTTACAAGCACTACTCTTAGAAGCACAGCTCTTACAAGCACGGCTCTTAGAAGCACAGCTCTTAGAAGCACGGCTCTTAGAAGCACGGCTCTTGGAAGTATGTCTTAACCGTCTTATAAGCTCACTAAACCATCTTTGAAGTTCACCTCAGCCATCTAAACTACTAAAAAAAAAACTAGTACCCTGCACCTGCCACCCGGAGTAAACCATCCATGAGCGCTACTGCTGGTACAGGGTCACTAACGTACTGCGTAAGTAATTAATGGATGAAGATAATTACATTGGTGTGGTCGATAGCACACACAAAACAAACGTCTACCAGCCTGACACCACACTGGAGTTGAGTTTGAGCTCTTGGACACAGCCTCTGCTCATCGATTATCTGAAGTGACTTTGCACCTTCGCTTTTTGGATTTCGTTCTCCATAATTTTTAAACCGATACATCTCTTCATCGTGTATTTCCCTTGTGACGCTCATACTGAGATAATTCGCTTTATTGTTCCTCTGGGTTATTTTAACTGTTTCCATGTTTGTCCTCCTTGATCTGTTCCTTCCCATGTTAGTTTCTGCGTCGTCAGGAGGCTGATATGCTGGGAGTTTACCTGAAGAGGGTTTCGGGGGTTAACGCCCCCACGGCCCGGTCTGAGACCAGGCTTCGTGGTGGATCAGGGTCTGATCAACCAGGCTGTTACTGGAAATATAAACACAAATGCAGTACAATGTGATCCTTTATTGACAACGTTTCACCCACACAGTGGGCTTTCTCAAGTCACACACGGATCTACCTGGGGTTGGAAGGTACGAGAGTATTTATAGGCATGTTGAGGTCAGGTGGAGAATGCTGCAGCTGATGATCTACCGGGTGGGGTTATAGAGTCTTGGGTAGCTTGGCAGGGGTATTGGACAAGTTTTGAGTAGACCTTCTGCAGTGTTCTATGTTCTTATGTGGGATAGCGATGAAGAAGTTTCTTGGCGAGTGGTTCAGCTATGTTATAGAAGCCATTGTTCTGGTTGAAATTGTTGGTTGTAGAGATGAGCGATGATTCCAGGATTCTTCTGTATTGAGTGTTGTCTTCTGTGGCTATGAGTCTTGAGTTTCTGTAGTTAACTAAATGGTTGTGTGAATTGCGATGTTGTACACAGGCATTCCTTGTATCGTCAGTCCTGCTTGCATATTGGTGTTCTGAAATACGTGTTTGGAGGTCTCTTGATGTTTCGCCCACATATAATTTGTTGCAGTCATTACAAGGGATTATGTATACCCCTGCAGAGGATGGAGGTTGTCCTGTCTACTACTGGTGATGTCCTTGATGGTCGTGGTTGTGGAGGTAGATACTTGGAATGATGTTTTGGCAAAGATGTTGGAAACATGTTTGGCAATGGAGTTGGTTGGGAGGACTATGTATCTTTCTCGGCAGTGTCTTCTCTGGGTGTGTTGAAGATGTTTAATGCCCGCCGTCTGCAGTCTCTGATGAATGACGAGGATAGTGGAGTTTAGAAAATACTTGTTCAATTATAGTGCACTCTTCCTCAAGGAACTCATTGCTGCAGATTCTGAGTGCACGTAGAAGAAGCCTATAATTACACCACGTTTGGTTTTGGTGTCGTGGTGAGAGTAGAAGTGGAGAAGATCGTTTTGGTTGGTGGGTTTTCGATAGACTTTAAAACGAAGTTCGTTGTCAGCTTTGCAGAGCAGAACATCAAGGAAAGGAAGAGTGTTGTCGACTTCTTCTTCAAGTGTGAACTGGATTGAAGGCTCGACCTGGTTGAGCTTGTCTTGGAGAGCTTGAACGTTGAAACGTTTAGGAGTTATGAGGAGAATGTCGTCAACATAACGGAGCCAGGTGACAGACGAAGGAATAATGGTGGAGAAACGTTCGGCTTCTAGATGTTCCATGTATAGGTTCGCCAGGACTGCACTGAGTGGCGAACCCATGGGTAGTCCAAAAGTCTGCTGAAAGAGGTGATTTTCGAAAGAGAAACACGTAAAGCCAACACATAGTTCAACAAGGTCGATGAAATCGCTGGCTGGAATGGGAAGATCAAGTGAATCATCAATTTTCCTGGCTTGTGTAGTAGGTACTTTGGTGAATAGGGAAGTCACGTCAAGGCTGGAAAGTTTCTTGTTCCTGATGTTGATGTTGCGAATGCGATTGAGAAGATCACCCGAGTGTTTGAGATGTGCTGGACTGATAGTGCCCAAGAGTTTAGAGAGGTGTTTTGCGAGAATTCCTGAGAGCTGGTGGGGAGCACTGCCTATTCCAGAGGATATGGGCCTCAGTGGGATACCAGGCTTGTGAGTCTTTGGCAGGCCGTACATTCTGGCAGGTCTGGGGTTGCTGGGCATGGTGTGCAGAAGTTTCTTCCCTTGTTCTGAGCCCCTCAGAATGCGGCGAGTCCTTTGAAGAAAAGTTTTAGTAAGGTTGTCCACTTGGTTAGTTGTGAGAGGTTTGTAGGTATCTGGGTCATTAAGTAGATTGAGCATTTTGTTCCTGTAATCGTCAGTGTTCATGATAACAACACCACCTCCTTTATCAGCGGTGGTGACCCTGATGGTTGTGTCTTCTGCTAAACCTTTAAGTGCATTGATGTAACGTCGAGGTATGACTGGGGAGCTGCGTGTTGAGATG